CACACACACACACACACACACACACACACACACACACACACCACAGATTAAAAGCAACTATTAGAAGGGGGAAAAAAAGCTGGTGTAAAGCTCAGGAATAGAGCCTTGCACCCCAATTGCTCAAGTTCCTAGAACCAAGTACCAGTACTACAAAAAGATATACAACAGTCACAGCGATTTGTTGTGGTTGCTCATGCCTTTCATGAGGGGGCAGAGAGAGGAGGGCCACCATGAGTTCCAGCCCAGCCTGGACCACACATGAGACCCTTTCCTCAATAAATCAAAGAAAAAAAATAAACTATTAAAGATGAGTAATAGATATATGATGAGGCTGGTGAAACTATGAATATAATATTAACTTACCGATGAAGTTCCTGACAATACAAAAGAATAAAATTATAGGTCTTGTTGTTTAAGAAAAAGCAGGGAGGAGAGTCGCACGTATCTTCAAAGACAGTATTTTCTTAGTAATTTATTGCACAGTAAACTTATTTTGATGTTCTAAGTAGCTTAGAGACCACGGAGTGAGTATTCTGAGAGTATCCTTAAAAAATTAAGAAAATAGCAACCAAACAACCACTCCCACCTTGGGTTTGGTAACCATGACAGACAATTCTCATAATAGCTATACTTTCACAATTAAGGACATGTAAGCCAGGACTTTTGTCAAATCAAATTGGATAGTGCCAGCCTTTGGGTAATTCTTTCCCCACAACTGACTTTTTAACTTTTATTTCTATTGTCTTGCTTTCAAAGCAATAGGCTTCATTGGACAAACAACTTTTCAAACTTCTACTCAGAGAACACATTTTGCCCTAGACATTTAGTATATTGTATTTCTCCAGTGTAATTAAAATATTAGCCCCCACAACTCTGTAGAGTAACTGAATTATAGTGTGTATTTGATTAGAGCCTGCTTACTTGAATCAAAATTCCGGAGAAACTTATTCTTAAAATGCATTTAAGGTAACAGATGGCATTTATATAGAACCTATCAGCTTGAAAATACTGATGTTCATCTCAGTTCTAACAAATTGGAATATCTAAAGTGTGTGTTTGAAATCATTCACTCCTACAGGCACTTATTCTTCCCAATCGATTTGTGGCAGCCACGTTCCAGATGAGCTTCAGTCAAGCCCAAACACATAATCTCAGTATTACTATCATTTTGCAGCCATGTGTTGTGGGACATTGCTCCTGTAACTAATTAAATCCTAATATGCGAAAGCTTTTAAAAAGCCTAGAAAAAAGAAGCGGTGCACATGGCTAAACAAAGGTAGGTGTGTGATGAGGGAGTCTTGGGTCAAATGAAGGAGATGAGGCACTCATAGTAACTTTAAGTCTATGCCTCAAAGACTAGAGCAAAAGGTGCTAGGAACCAGAAATGCCCTTCTTCATCTTCTCTGCTTCTCTTTCCCCTTGTGTTCTATTGTTCTCAATATGCAGACAGGCTTCCTCTCCTCTCTGTGCATGACCATTATTCTACCTCCAGGCCAACATCTCTTATACCCAAAATGTATGATGCAGTGTCTGTGTGTGTGTGTGTGTGTGTGTGTGTGTGTGTGTGTGTGTGTGTGT